AAAACGAAGACGAATTCCTTGGTCTTTTTCTCGTCGAGGATGCTGTTTTTGTCAAAATTTTGTGTCGCCGTAAAAAAGAATAAAAAGAAACCAACAGTATTTTTAGATTTCTAACTGCAATGATTCAATTAATGAAAATCAATATCAAGAAATAAAAAAAAATAAATAAATAATTTATAGTACCTAATATGTGGATATTTTAACAGATATTGTTATATAGGCTCCATTCCCCATAATTAGTGAATTATTTGTGTAAATGTCAATTTTAGACATATGTATATGCTAATAGATTATCTTTTAATTTAGCCTAAACAAGTAATGATTTTTTTTTCTACTAATTTTTCGCTGGAAGAGATCACTGTATGAGGAGGTGGTGCAATATTTTCTTATTGTAAATTTTGATCTTATTGATTTTATAAATTGCTTGTATTTCTGTTATGTATTTTTTTTTTTCTTTGTTATGTATTCAATAAATCCGTAAGCTGAATGTAATGATGTAGACATTAAAATATTTTTCTATAAACAAACATTCAGATTAGTGAGCTTGTTAAGCTTTTAATTAAAATAAAATAAAAAATAAAGGAAATATCTTTGAAAATTTTTTAGGTGGAGAAATCGAAGACAATCCCAAAAATTTCCAGAAACAAATCAAATCAAATATCATGGTTACTTAAATTAATTAGTAGGTTGTTTAAGATTTTAACTAAAAGATAAAAAAATTAAAACATTGTAATTTTTTTTGATTAAAGAAAAAAAAAAACAACATTTTGGGTGGAAAAATAATTGAAGGTTTTATTTATTGTTCTGTCATATCAGATTACGGATACTGTCCCATTTGACCAGACTGTTTTATTTTATTTTATTTTATTTTTTTGTAACGTACCAGACTGTTGTTTACTTGAACTGGAGTCTACACATTAGGTTAAATTTATCTAAAAAATAAATAGAAGATAAGAGACTCCACTTTCTTTAGAGGGACATAACAATTCCATTTCCCTTGTGATGCCGAATAAATCATTTTCTTGGTTCTTTGAGGGATTGAAAACCCAATACATCAAGTGAAACAAACTCCCACGAATCCATTTTTTCTTGATGTCAATGAATATATAATAACATATTTACATAATTCCATATATATAACAAACATGTGACTGGAACATAGAAATCATGAACCTTAATCAATGAGAATTAGTGCATCACTGATCAAGATGACTTGAACATATACAACACACCTCCAACTCCAAAACCCATAAACCCAGCAAGAACACAAACACAAATCATCCTCAACCCAACAACAAAAATATCATTNTGATTACCACCAAATTGAACCAAACTCCTCAAGGCTTGTCTTTTCATCACTTTCCCATAAACCCCTCTTCCCAATCTCATCACCTTCTCCATCTCCACAATCCCACCATTAATCCCACTCCTCTTCAATCCCTCCACAAACACCCTCACAATCCTCTCATCACAACCGACGCAATCCGCCACACTATCCACCACACTCTCCACCGACGGCACTTTCCTCCCCCATTTCCTCACACCTCTATCCGACCCGTAAAGGCCCGAATACGCCTCCCAAAACGAGGCCCGAAGGTACCCTTTCCCCTTCCCCCTCACAACCCACCTCCTAATCCCTTCCTCCAATCCACACACCACATTCCCCATAACATCCCCTTGCCCTCTCCCCAAAACGCCCTCGAGATCCCTCATCTCTTGCTTGCGCCGCAAGTTTCCTTCGAATTCGCATCTCTTGCATCTGCACACGAACCCCCATTCCTCGGCCATCTCGACCCGTTTGTTTAGAGGCGAGAGCATGTTGAAATAGGCGAACGTGAGTTCCTCACCGGCCTTCACGTCCCTAGCCGCGTGTACAATGACGTAATCGCCAATGTGGAGGCGCCTAACGTTAGGCTCGCAAGAGTGGTTAATGAAGGAAGCCAGAGCCCATAACCCAACACCTTGATATTCGGCGTTTTTGCCCAATACCTTGGATGAAACCGCGTCTTCAAGAATTGAGTTTGTATCCAAAATGCTCAAAATTTTCCTCGTGTCTAACTCTTCGCACGAATCGCCACCGTTCAAATCGGCATCCGATCTGAATATCCCGATTTCGGGAATCCCCAAACTACCCTCGTCCTCTCCAGAGGATAGATTTGATATCAAGAACTTTACTTCACCGCATTTTTTTAATTTTTCCACAACTTTGTCGACCAAGTTCTTCCAGATAACTAAATGGGCAGTTTCGCCAGATCCTTGAGGCATTATAGCACGATCAACTGCAACGGCTTTAGTCACCAGCAGTAAAGTCCCACTTTCGACATTTTTGGTAGCGAATAATCCTCGCCCGCTAATTTTGGACTTTTTAATCTCCACCGGACCAATGTACTCTGCGAGTTCGGGTACTTTTCCCTTAAACCCACTCAAGACCCAATCAGAAACATCGAATGCGCCAGATTTTGATAAAGACTCGAGCTTTTTGCATTTCTCCAAGAGCCCATTAACCAAATCGGAATTTTCACAAGCCTGCGGATCAAGATTTGCCAATTTAAAGCAGTCTAAGGCCATACCGTACTTGTTTAGGCTCAGCAGTATTCTGCCCTTGCATAGGAGAGTCTTGAAATGTGATTTCTCGATGGCCAGTGCCTCCTCACAATCTTTGAGGGCTTCGGAAAGTTCCGATTGTCGGGCCCGAGCTTCGGCCCTGTTCGAGAAAGAGAGGCAGAGGGTCCTTTGGAGCTCGGAAAGGTGGGGCCCATCTGGTTTGTTCTTGGAAATGTGATCTCGGCAGAGACAGATAATTTGCGAGTAGGTTTCGATGGAGTCTTTGTATTCTTCTCTGATGAGATGCTCGGTGGCTTTGGATCTCAGATTTTGGATTCTCTCTTTGTCTTCTCCTTCTTCTAATTCTACTTCCAATTTTTCAACTTGTGGTGTTTCTAATAATAACTCTCTCATGTTCATACTGAAAAAAAAAATGATGTTTTTTTACGGGTGTATTTTAGGGTTTCTTTTTGTTGAGTTTTCTGGGAGTTTCTTTGTTTGGTGCAGGTGAGGAAATTGAGTGTACTAATTTAAAATTTTGAAAATGTAACGGTCGGATTGTGATGCATATAGTAACCTCTTTCTTTAATTTTGGGCTGATCAGGTCCTCTCACATGGGGTAACGGCTAGGTTTATAAGAAATTTGTGCTCATTTTGTACTTTCGAATTATTGCGTTTCCATGCCTATTTATTGCACTATTTATAATTTGTGTACTAGTGATTTAATGATATACGAACTTGTGATAGATGACTTGGCATACATTATATTTTGTCTTCAACCTTGTTAATAAGATGCGTCGAGTTTAAAATTGAAATAACTATGCAATTAGGTAGATGTGTTAACTGAAAATTTGTCTTTCATTAGAAGTGTTTGAAAAAATATTGTAGGGAGATTTTGAAAAGTGTGATTAAAATTAAAAAAATATGTATATAATAATTAATGTTAATTTGATGTGATGAATATTAATTTTTTGTTCTGAAAAATGTAAAATAATAATTATTTAGAAAAAAACACTTTGATTAAACTGAGTAGGACAAAAGTGAGATAGATTAATAATGTAATGTCATGTAACGATAATATTTTTCTAATGGGAGCATGGTACTTTACGACTTTCCATAACTGAACGTTTATTTATATGTTATTGCAGTAAACTTATTCCCATTATAATTTTCATAAATTCAACAATTTTCAGTTAGAATAGAGTAATATGATTATCGAACTTCACCAATAGTTGGTGGCCATTTGTGGTAGCTCTTTGATTGTCATAGAAAGTTCATTATTTCTCAACTAAAATTCAACGATTATGAGGGTGTATCAATTCCAGTCACCAAGTGGGACTCATTCATATTTTAACCTCAATAATTTTCAAACCAGGGAACCTAAGCTTACCTTGCAATTTGATATTTGCTTGAAAACCCCCAAAATCCATCAGATAATTTATGTAATCACAGACCCATTATTTTTTCAGGAAATACGTTCCATCTCTAAGTTCAAGTTTCTCCTCTGCAACGAGGCCAGCCAAAAAGCTCTGCAACTGTTGGAGTGATTTGTCATAGGTAGGATCACTTATACAAAACATCTGTAAAAAAAAATAACGGGTTCACCCGGTTAGATTAGTCGTGTTCTAATCATCCATTAAAAGCTGCCAATAGTCTGAAGGGTTTAACCTTGAGAGTATTGTGTATCCGATCCAAAGCCATGCTGCCGAAATTGGTAAGCATCCCTGTAATGAATTTCTGCAACAATTGTTTTCGAAAAAAAATTCCAAATCTGAATTAGAAACGGTTGATCTAGTTACAAAATCATTGTGCAACAGAAAAAAATCCCTCTTTTTGTTGAAGAACATGCCATTAAATTCGCAAATTCGATCAGTGTGAAAATTTCTGTCTCCATCGTTTTTATTTAGTCGGACTCCCTTTGCTATCAAGATAACTCTCTACGATTAATTTGAAAATGATGCTGCAAGCTCCAGAAAGCCCTGCACATTGGAAAATCTCAACTAAAAAAATTTCAAACTGATGTACCTCATAAACAGTCATTTCTTTACGAAGCTGATCCTCCACAGATGCAACTGATCTGTCTCCATCTTCATCACCCGCGAGAACCTCTTCAAAGCTATTACCGTTAGCTCCAGCTTTTCCACTCTCAGCCAAAGCTTCCACCAAAGTAAATTTACGGTCTCCAGAGTCCTGTGCCGACTCTGTTAGGATTCCCTGAATAAACATGAGACAATTTTGTAAAAGAGAATTTTCAAGGGTTTTTTTTTTTTGTTTTCTTTTGAGAGAGAGATAATTTGCTTTTCCTATGAATATACTGAACTTCAGGGGTACTCTTGTATTTAACCCACAGGAATGATATAACAAAACTTGGAAGTAACATTTGAAACTCAAGAAGCTATAATCAGAGACTACACACGTCAAATTTTAACCGTGGTTCTAGATATAAATGGTTGAATTTCTAAATCAGTGTATTGCAGTGAACCTTGTTTATCCAAAAATGTATTCTTCTAGTCAAGACATCCACAGGCACTCCAACAGCAGCAGCAAGATTCTTGGAGGTCCAACTGAAAGAACAACACACATTTAACGTAAGATAAAGGCTGCAACTCTATAATGGAATAATAGGATTTCACAAATCACCTTGTTTGATCCTCAAACTGACTGATGATGGCAGCATGAAGAGGTGTAACGGTGAATGGCACCGTTTTATCTTCAAATTGCAGTTCCAACTGAAAAATTGGAAATAGAGACTATTTATATGGGTCTGAGCAGCAAGCTGACACAAGAAGTTGGCAATCATGCCACACAGACAGTTTTATCTCAGCTGCTAGGGTGAATAAGTACAAAGTTTGGACATTGTTTGGAAAACATTTAAGCATTAATATGTTTCTCAGCATCCATCAAGTCATGGAATATTACCAATGTATAATCTAACAAGAACCTTTTTCCGCTCTATTAAGGAAAATATTTTTGCTCTTTCTGGGGTCCAATTTCAAGGGTGAAACTGAAAGCAGTGCAAAGTTCTGAATGCATGCAAATGTGACGGCCAATATTTCAGAATCCAACCCAAGTTTCGTATTTCAAAAAAAAAAAAAAATTGAAATAGGGAACAACTGACCTTTACAGTCCCCAGATTTTTTTTCCAGAGGAGCTTACGAGGGGTCTTGATTTCATTAAACCTCTTAGCATAATCACTTAGAAGCTTGTCCACTGATTCAGGTAAATTAACTTCCTCATCCTGAAAGAGACAAAATAACAGTAGAAAATTCATTCTTCAGCAAACTTCAATGGAAAATGTGACCGTGAAGTAAATCCTACATAAAGTGCTTTATGTCAAAGCAGAGAACACCTTTAAATTTTGTGAAAGCCACAAATTTCAAAACCAGTTCTTTTCTTTAAATAAACGCTGCTGAAGTGTAAACCAATGAAGTAAGGAAGTGATACTCATACCTGGATAGGTGGCCAGAAATTTGATGATATAATGGTAGCATTGAGATTACTTAAAGATAACTCATGCTCAGCACCTGCATATTGTATGCACAAACGTCATACCAATCACCTAAATCATGTAAGCATATAGAACTAGTTCTTTCTATCTAATCTGCCAAATTGAAAGTAGGAATAAAATAATACCTTGCTTAGGTAGTTGTTCGATGTTTGCTTTTATAGTTGTATTTATCCTTTTTGAATTAATTAAATCATTAAGCATTATTTCACACTTCTGCATGCTGCTCTCACCAAAATGTATCTGCAATCAAAACAAGCTGTTGAATAAAAGAACACAAATTTACAAAAACATTAAATTTCTTTGAAAATGACCTTCAGGAGTTCCAGGGTACGGATCTCTGAGTCAATGTCATAATCAGATTTATTCAGAAGCTTTTCAGCCAGCATAACACGATATTCATTCACCAGCTGATCCTTTGAACCAATTATGCCAACAATCATACCGAGAATGTCAACCTTCCTCCGATACCTGCCACCTTTTAAGGGATCTGCCTCCACTGGATCAGGCTCCCAACTTACATGGACAAAAACAGTCACTATATGTAATACTTCAAGTNTCTTTTTCTTCTTCTTTATTTTCGTTCCCCCCTATAAAAAAAAAAAAAAAAAAAAAAAAAAAAAAAAACAAAACAAAACAAAAAGTAATAAATAAACAAGAAAGAAAAAAGAGTAGTCAACGCGTTTAAGTCGGACTTAATAGATTATTTATTTGATGATTCAAACAAAGGGGTGTACACACACAATTAATCTTTCCAAACCCTTTCAGTCTCAAGATAAGAAACTGACCTTTGGGCATTAATCCATGCTTGCTTGTCATCGGTGTTGAATTCATCTTCAAGGCCGGAATTCTCTTGATTTTCTTCCTCCCTATTTAATTCTTCAAGAAGGCTGTCCCCAATGCCTCCTGGCCCACTAGGATTCCCGCCAGCCCCATCAGTGAGCATAGTGACGATGCATTTAATAGTATCCTTCCTTCCCCTTAAGTATTCCCTGATTGGCTCACCAACAGCTTCAAGGAACACACCAGCTGGATCTATTGTTCGAAGGGCTTTAATAGTTGAAACATATTGGTGCAGTATATCATTGGTGGACGCACCAGCAGTCAATAAGCGGTATTTCAAAGCAGCTATGAAAGAATCAACAAGCTTTGAATGCTGCCCGGTGTATTCAAGGCATTGTTTCAGATCTTCAATAGCAGGCGAACTGAAATATAAAGAAAATAATAGCCTACTCTTAGAAAGATGTAAAAAACATTCTTCCATGATGTGAAAACAGCTTTCTTTCCTTTGTACTTATTCACAAAATTCTACAAACACCTAAATGAAGATGACAGACTGACTGACATAGCCATTATCCATGCAGTACCTGTTATTAACTCAATGAGGAATGGCGGAGCGTAGAAACGGACACAAAGTTAATCCTACAGTATTAGTTTCTAGCGCAATCAAGCAACAGCCAAAAGAAAATAAATCAGAGAAGGCTCACATAGTCAAGTGGCATAATCTGTGAACGTCTTGCCTAGATAAACTATAAGAAGTACTGGTAGAAAATTAATTAAGCATTCGATGTAGAATTAGTGAGACTAAATGTGGACCCTGTGTGCCGCCTCAACTCAAGCGTCCATGTCACAATAGCCTGGGTATCAGATGCCTCAAGAAAATTACGCAATACTAAATTAGCATTTTGTTTAAGGAATGAAAAAAGGTGTGAATGGATTAACAGGGTAATATCCGTCTTTTGGACCTGATTCGAATTTACCTGTCAGGATAATCCACAATGATTTCAAAGAGCTTTGCTATTCTCAGATCTTGTAATGTTTCATAAGCAAAATATTCCAAGCGCAACTGCCACCGTACGAGTCCCTCAGAAGGAATGTCAGCTCCATAACATCTAAAAGATGGACTAGATGCCAATGGAGATTTCAGGCCAGAAGAAGAGCTTTCACAACTTTTAGAATCACCCAGGTAAGCAAGAAGAGCATGTAAGAATTGAAGCGGCACAGCCTGCAAAATACAACTCTCTGTTTCAGATGTTATCCATCCAAACATGATTATGTCTATGACATCACAACAAATAGCAGGGACTAGCACTCACAGGAAAATAGTAGAACTTTAATGAGAATAAAAGGATAGAGATGCCAAGATGCTCCTTTGATTCTAAAGAGAATTATAGAAATACATCACCTGTATCCACTCTTTAATAGACTCTAACACTGAGAACCTAAACTCATCACCGGCTAGCTCATGTACTTTAGCCTGTCAGGAATTGCAGAAGGAATTACAGTTACTTATTGAATAAAACTAAAAGGCACAAATACATGGGACATGGTGTCTCGAATTCTCGATTGAGATGATATTATTTACAAGTAAGAAATGATGAGATATATTAGAAAATATCAGAAAAAAAGAGCACCACCAGTTATCTAAAATATATGAAACTATCTGAAACATGAAGCAGCGGATCTTGCTGATTAACAGCACTTTAAACATATACAACCTTCAACAACAGAAACATGGCAGATGCATAGGCATCCTCAGCCATTGAGGTAAACCCAAGACTCCTAAGATCACGGACGACCTTTCCTATGTTTCTTATCAAGTTGCTCCCAAGGATGGTGGTTCTGTGGGTATGAGTTTCATCAATATCCATTTGCTCTAAGTCCATTCCATCATCAATATGCAACTTGTTATCTTGCTCGCAGCCTGTGGCCGTCATCGCACTTAACTCCTCTAACTGTCTCTTAAAGTACCAGTGAAGTATATCTAAGCATTTTAAGAAACAGAAATTGATTTAATTAAGAAGTGAACACATGCAGGAATACCATGAGAATAAGGGCTTCCTTTGCCTCCCAATTAACCTCATGACTTAGCAAATTAATATGGAGAAATACATGCCAACAGAAAGAAAACAGAGCCAGAAAATGACGCTATTAGAACTTCCTCCATAAACGAAAATTTCGATAAAGATGTGATGCCAGCGATAACACTTCCTTTTTGAGTTCACATTTATGTAATGAGCAAGAAGTCCCCCTTGAAGGGGATCATTGGATTCATCAGTAATAAAACCTCTAGATATGTACACTTGATATCATTACCGCTTGTCATTACGTCCAAAATTTCCAGAAAGCACGGTACTTAACATTGATCAAGCATTGTGAAATTATATGACTACTTGCAAGCCCTAAATATAGAAGTATTCTAATGGACCTCAACTTGGAGAACTACTTCCGTGAAAATGAAGCATGTGAAAATGAGATGAATCCATAAGAAAACTAATACCTGAAAAATGTCGAGGTAGACTGACCATAAGGACTGAAGATATTGTCAATTGATACTTTGAGAATAGATTGTTCCGTTCTGCTTCTGGATACACTTGTTTCTCTGGCTTACTATCTAAGCAAGTATTCAAAGCATGAACTAACATTGAGAGGCACTTCTCCTGGTATTGTTTTTCAGATGATATCTCTTCCAAGGCCTTATGCAGTGTATTCAGCAACTCAGCTTGTTGATCCTGTGTCAAGTTCTTTTAAATCAGAATTATGCAGTGCATATCCCATATTCATCAATCTTAACAGTCTGGAAAGCCCAAGTACTGAAGTTTTTGTCCATAGCCATCCATTGCACCTAAAGCTACTATTAACATTGAGTTTACGTACATAATGATTTTACAAACTCGTACACTAGTTTGTTAATTAACTGAAAAATGGACTGAAAAATGGACACATGGAAAGTGTAAAGCATATTGTCAAACAAACAACATACTTTATTAAGATCCTTGGTTCCATCATGGCATCATCATTAACTATCTCCTTCATTACTCTTCTTATATGACTCATGTACATAAGAGGGGAAACCTCTTTATTATTTCAGTATTTAAGAACAGCTACAGGCAATAGAAAGAATTTTCCTTCATAAGTATGAAATGAAGATAATCTCAATCATCATCAACTCATTATCGTATATGTTCCACCCAACAAGACTAATCAACATATGTTTACTGATTCTTGCACCTTAGATAAAACTGGCATTTAAATTTATCGATGTCGTATCATCACCATCACACTTGGCAACAAGAAATCTGGTGCTCTGTCACCAACAATGCAATTTAGTTCAGTTTGTTTTGGTCGAGATGTGAACATCAGCAATATATAAAGTGCATATCATCTCATTACATGATTCCAATTCTTTAAATTTAGAAAATGCCACCACAGCTACAATGCAAAGAAAACTATTTAACATGTAATGGTGAGCAGGGGGCATTTCAATTTCTAGTCTTTTACTCATCTATCTTCGTACTGATATATTAAATTGGTGATCCAATATTCACTTAGCAACTAGGAAAACAAACGCGTGCTAATACATCATATGGTTACATACCGAGTCTTCCATATCCAGAACTGCAAAGTCATTGTATCCATCAAAATGCTTCCAAAAACTTGATGCCCCATTTTTCTCAAATATTTCCTAATGCAACAAAAATATCGAGATTTATGTAGATACTTTATGATGAAAGGATATATTGTAAAGCATCGACTACCCTAAAAAAAGGTGAACTTTTACCTACTAATTCCAGGAGCTACCCTAATATCATCGGTGATTTTAACCTTATCATTTTCCTTCATCTTCATTATATCAAAATAAAAATTAGTAGTAGAATTTGACATTTCAAACCCATAACATCATAATTGAATTTGGATGAAAGGCAATATTTTGAACTCAAAAAAGTACAATAACAGAGGGAAGTACAGAATTCTCAAGAAACAAACAAATTGATTTATCAATAAACTCATATTACACTTTCTCTTTTCCATTCTAAATGAATTTAACTTCCTCCAACTCCCCTACCAAAGAAAAAAAATCAATATCAAACGTGGTATTCAAGATATATTACAAAACTATTAACTTTTACTCAGAACGACTATAGATACAACATGCCCCATTCCCATCAGTAAAAGACTACCTCCCGTGTCAAATTGACAGCCATATCAACTATCAAACCTAACATTTCAACTCTACTCCGGAACACAGAAATGGAAAAGGCTGAAATCAATGTATGTGGAACAACAAACCAAAAATTAGTGGACTAGAACTGAACCGAAGAAAGGACTGAAATCCCCTTCTAGTGAACTTGAGTGAACTTGTACCTCCACGGAGCAAAGAAAGTGCTCCACGATTAACGACTGAAGCCCCTGAACACAGAGATTTTTCAGATGCGACAAAAAGTCAGGAGCTAACCACAAATCATCGTCGCCTCCGAGTAGCGCTTCTGTTGCCAGGCAAAACGCATCCCAGCTATCCGCCATTTCTTCGACTGAATTCGCACTTAACAAGTCCAGAATCGCCAGATTACACATCGGCGAACCCTCCATGGCAGCCATTTACAGAAAAGAAAACGAGAACGAACTCCAAGAAAGATAAAGGAGAGAGATTTTGGTCGCACTGTAAATCAAAACCCTAACTCGGACGATACACAAACAGAATAATCACTTCGAATTAAGCTGACGATTAGGACAAAATGACAGCCTGAGCTTGTGGAAAGTGTCTTGTACTGAGTGTGGTTTTCCCATTATTTATTTGCCGCCATTTTTGTAACCTTTCAAGTTTCAACAGCGAGTTACAGAGCAGCGTGAAAGAAAGGAGTTTCATGGCCTGAAACGAGAACGTTCTGGGCCGGGTCGTATTGTTGGGTTCGTGACTAATCATAGCCCAAATAGACAATACAAAAATGGCGAATTTCTACCTTTGCCACGTAATTTGAAAATAATTGTAATTGTACGACGGCCAAATCTTAATGAATTAATTACTCTCTGTACGAGTCCAATTTTCTATATTACCCATTTAACGAAATAAAAAAAAAAATCACCCATTAGACTGGGTGTGTATTCAATTGAGATTCTTAAGGACTTTTTAAAACTTTTTAAATTTGGTGACTTTTGTGGACTTTGTAAAACTTTCATGACTTTGTTGGATTTTTTGAGACTTTCAGAGAATTCTCATTAGTGACTTTTTAAGACTTTCATAATAGACTTTTTAAAACTTATTGAGACTTTTATATGCTTGTAGTTATATTATTATGTTTGAATGAAACATTAATAAACATAACATTATAACTAATATCAAGAAGAATAAATGAAAAAAAAAGTTTTATATATTAATTCTCTAAAAATTTACGAATCAATTCATTGTTATGCGAAATGAGTTATTCATGAACAAATTGTTTAGGATTTTAGATTTATTAAACGAGCAAATCAATCCAAGAATCAACGAGTCAAACTATAGAAGATATAAATATTGTCGAAAAACGGTAATTATATCTTATAAAGTTATTAGTAATATTCAAAATAATTCAATATCAACAAATAAACTATTAGAAAATAATATATTTTAATATTTAAAAATAAACATTGACAAATAAAAAGAGAGAACAAATAAATTATTTGCAAGTGCAAACTATGGAAGCATTTAAGCTTTGAAAAGTCAAATTCACAAGATAGCAAAATGAGAGAATAAAGGTATACATACATAAAATAACCATAATAAAAAAATATAAAATAAAGATCGCGTTAAATATACGTAATGAAAATAAAAATTATAAAAAGTATCAAAATAAATGAGCAAATAATTGAGTATGAAAGTGATAGGAGGTACAAAGTCGTGTTAGAAAGAAAAAAGAAAGGGAGCGTGAAGAGAGTCACATATGTCCAGCAAAATCTCACCAACATTGATGAGATTTCTGTTGGGACTTTCTCTTTGTAATTTTGTAAGAAAGGTCTCTAAAACTCTCACAATTTAAAAAGTCTCATAAAGTCTTTCTATTTTGAATATAGGGTGACTTATAGAGACTATCATAAAGTTTTAATTGAATACCTTGAGACTTTTAGAGACTGATAAAAAGTCTTTAAATCAGCCGTCTCTTGTCCACCTTCTCTTTCACTTCTCCCCTCTCTCTCTCTCTCTCTCTCCCTGTCATCCCTTTTCTCCCTGCCATTCGCCTCCACAGTCTCGTCTCTCTCCCCCGCCAGCCACCTCGTCGTGACCCCCGGCCAGCCCGAACAAATATCCATCAACAACGTCGGAGTCTCTGATACCCCCATTTTCGATGATGGATTTGTCTTCGTCTACGCAATTGACGGTTTCTTCAACCTGAATTTCACCCTAGCGGATGCAGATTCGGCCAACCCGAACCCTAGATCCGATTCCCAGTGCCTGAAGCTGGAATCATCCTCTAGATTTGGAGACGCGCCTAGAGTTTTGAAATCGAGAGGCTACTCGTTATTTTCCTCCAATCGACTGATCACCGATAGCTTGTTATCATCTTAGGTAAACTTTATCCTGTCAATTATTTTCAATTTTCATACTATTTTTTTTCAGGAAATTAAGTGTTCATGGAATTTGCTGGTAGAATTTTGTAATTGTATAGTTATTTTTATTACTTTTTATTTTCTGTAAATTGTTTTGCTGCTTTTTGATCAATTTTCCCTCGGTTTAGTTGGTCATATTTTTATGTTGTGTTATGTAGTTTGTTGAGATATTTGTGTGCTATGTGCTTTCTGTTGTTCAGTAATTGATTAATTCTGTGATCTTTTTTAATCTCTCGAAAGGCAGCTCAACTCACACGACGCTGTGAAACCGTGGAGAGTTTTTGAAGCGATGGACGAGGAATTGGTCCAGTTTTCGGGGATTTTGTAGGCCTCTCTTCTTTGTTCATCAGGCATTTGGCTCCGCGCAAAGTGATGTGGAAAATATGGATGAAATGGCGAACGGGACTGTGGTTTCCAACAATGTGAGCGACTTTAGCTTGGAGATTACCAAGGATGAAGTTTATAGAATGATGGTGAATGGAGTCGAAATCACTTTCCTACAGCTGTACGAAAGCAAGTGGCTGGTGGTTCACGGGATCAAGCGATGATTGCTTTGCCGGAGATTGGGGACGAGGAGATGGAAGTGACAGAGGATTTTCCGGTGGAGGAAGACAATAACTCAATGGCTATGGATAATGGGGAATTTCGAGGTCAGTTGTTGCTACTTTACTGAATGAAGCGTTTTTCTTTTACACTGAAGAATTTTTCATGTCTTGAAAAGGGAATGAGAGCTTTTAATATTCTTAGAATTGAAAATTGGGATTGAAGAGAATATATGAATTGTGGAAATTTTACTAATGAAACTCTGGAATGAGATTTCTTGTTGAAAAGTGGCACGGTTTATCAACGAGGAGAAAACAAGTGTCGAGGAGAAGAGAGGTGAAAATGGGGATTCGAAGGTCAGAAAAGTGATGGGCTGCGTTTCGTATTTTTTCGATGGCTCCGATTCTTATTTTTTCTAATTTACGTGTGTTAATTTTTATAAAAAAAAAATTAAAGTAGCTTTTTTTTGAGTTAGTTCGATGTTTTATTTGATGTTTGATATAGTCATATTATGATATACCGGCCTAAGCACCAACTGCTCGACCGAATGACGAGCCGAGCAGACTGTGTGTCGACTGAAGCAACGCATCTCAAGTCGACTCTCCATATATCACCATGATAGGGGAAGTCGACATCCTTAAAACAACTCCCTATGTCACCACGATAGGGGAAGTCGACATCCTCAAGTCGACTTCCTCAAGACTCTTTATGTCACCATGAGAAGGGAAGTCGACATACTCAAGTCGACTTCCACAAACTGTCTAAAGTCGAGGTAGAATACCTCGAGGTCGACTTATTCTATTAAGAAGACGGGGACGGTTCAGGGATAGACGGTAGGCCTCCTGAAAAATTCCTACACGTGAGCCCCAAGTCGACCTCTTGCTATTCGAGGTCGACTCTTTACACCTCTAGGCTCGAGGTATATGACGACTAAAGCACTTCAGGATAGTCAAGCTAACCCGCTTGATAAGGATGAATCTTTATTAGATAAGATGGAATCTTAGGCTGACTTGGATCTGACTAAGAGGTGATTAGGACATAAATAGACCGGGTAATCGGGTCGGTCGACTAGGGGCATTTTGGGTATTTCATGCAGGTATTTTCCTCTATAAAATGGGATGAGGTAACACCAAACCCTAACTTCTACACTTTATATACACTTTCATTATCCTGCTGCTGCTGCTCCCTCTGAGCAGAGCACTTCCATTTCTTCCTGTTAATGACTTGAGCGCCGAACACTCTACGCCGGAAACACTTCTGGCGTTGAGTTCTTTCAGGTGTTGAAGGCGATTCAGAAGCGGTTCAAACAGATCGGAGCTCATCTCAACCGATTCACTCCAGATCTAGGAGGAGACCCATCAATGTTTATCTGTGATTTCTTGAAGTCGAGAGTTTGAATAATATCTAGACGTTTTTTTTGGTTAAGTGTTTTTTCTGAGTGTTAATTGAAGTTTATCTATGATTTCATTATGTTTATCAATAGTCTGTATTATGAAAATAAAATATATATATATATATATATGTGTGTGTGTGTGTGTGTGTGTGTGTAAATTTATATTTTGTGTGTATAAAAGTATCAATTTTATAACTATAATATACTGAAAATAAACCTTATATTTTTTTTTCTTAATAAACTAGTTTTTTCTTGTATAATAAACTGAAAATAAACTATATATAAATTTAAATTTACAGTCTGTATTCTTGTAAATTGTAATGATTTATAAACCTATTATAAATTAAAAATAAGTATTCTTGTAATGGTTTATAAACCTATAATAAATTTAAAATAATCTAAAATATAAATTATGGTAGAAAAAACTTGTTCATAAACTCAAAATAAATTTAACATAAACTATATATAAATTTAAATTTGGAAGGTAATTACTTGGTGCACTTATTAGAGAGAGAAAACGAGTTAAGAGAATGAGTTGGCATTAACAACGTGTGTTATTTCATTGTTGGAATTAATTAAGTTTCAATTGATGGAAATGGCAATAACTTTTTTAATTCGTTAAAGTGGAAAATATATGACAAACTTTCATCTTCGTGTCTTTAAGCCAATCTTAATTGCATTTTTACAAATTAAATGACAATTAACTAGAAATAATTATATTTTAGTGTTATAGTAAAATTCTTTAAAATCGCATAATCAAATGTTATAATAAATTTAATAATTTTAAGCTAATAAATTAGCGATCTCTCAAAATTTTATTATTTATTATATTTTATGTAATTAATATAGTGGTTCATATGCAATGAAATAGTTAGGTACTATTTATTTTAACCAATGATCAAATTTTAATACATAATATCATCATCTAATTTATATTTTTATTATTATATGCATAAATATAATTTATAATACTATATGTTTTAAATATAATACCATTGTATAACTTATAATTTTAATACTATATGCATAAAATGTAACTTATAGTATTCTATTTACATTGTGCAAATGCACAGGGTCGAATACTAGTTATAGTAATTTTTATAACTTATATCATATAACTACTTGAAATATAAATATATTATTTGATAAATAATTTTATTTTTATAATTAATATTAAAAAAATTATTATTGTTATGAAGATAAATATAATTTATTTTTTTATACATACATTATGGATGTTAAATCGAAGCTCAACAAGAGATGACTAATTTGATATATTATATATGTAAAACTGATAAAAAATACAAAAGTTATTAACTTTTAAAACACATTTATAATTCAATGGTTACAATAAGAAATGATATTAAATAGCAATTAATACATGTAACATGACCATAAATAATCAACATATTTATGGATAATCCAGACCTAATTATTTTTGGATTAGAAGTAAATTAAAATCCACTCAAGCCTAATAACGAAGAATGTAATTTTAGCACATAGAATCCCGAAGCATACGAGCCTGCCACTTAGGCTCCGCGCGTTCTGAATTAATATATATAGGGATACTATAAACGTAGTTAGATAAATGATATGTAAATAATTTCGCAACATATACTGAACAAATACAGAATCTAAATGCAATATATACTTAAAAATATTATGATGCCCTCTTGTACAAGATTTGACCTATATAAAATTTCCCATCAGCCAGCGATAAATAAATATATATAAATCTGCAGCCTTAGAACTGTGAATCTAAGAAAAAAATAATAATTTTCCATTGTTAGCCTTCGACTTAACCCTACATTGTTAGAACTGTGAATCTAAGAAAAAAAATAATAATTAAATTATGATTTTGTATTTTTCTTTTCGTTTTTTAATTACTTTTTTCTAAGAATTTGTCTCCATGCAAATGCACGAGTTGATTACAAGTTAAATCTTATAAATCAATAATTACTAGTACAACACCCGTATATTACACGGTGCTTGCTAATTTTTTTTTTCTTAAAATTTAAAATTAATGAGAAAAAGTGGTTGAAAAAATTTAAATACTTTTTATATAAAATATATATTATTATATATTTTAGTAATGGCACTTGTTACTTATGCGATTTACCTATGTTATATTATAATAATTTTTCTAAATTATAACATATAACTACATTAAACATAAATATATTAATTGAGAAATAATTTTATTTTTCTAATTAATTTTAATAAATAATTTTATTGTTATTATAAAGATAATTATAATTTATTTATTTCATATATACAATAGGAATGTCAAATCGAAACTCATCAAAAGATGATTAACTTGATATATTATATATGTAAAACTGATTAGAAATACAAAAATATTAATTTTTAAAATACATCTACAATTCAATGGTTATAATAAGAAATTATATTAAAATACAATTAATACATCTAAAATGATCATAAATAAATTAACATATTCATGGTAATCCGAACCTAATTATTTTTTGATTGAAATTAAATTAAAATCTATCCAAGCCAAATAATGAAACATGAAATTTTGACACCTAGAATTCCGAAGCATGTGAGTCTGCCACTTAAGCTCAGCATATTCAGGAATTATATACAGAGATGATTTACTTGGTAAATCCAACTTTCACCCTACCTTTTTTATTTTATTTTACATATTGTAATAAGAATAATACTACTACTTTGACATATTTTTTTTTTTAACATGAATGATGAAAATGATGTGTAATTATAAGAAATATTGATTTTAAAATATGTGTAATGTCTAAAATATTTAATCACATATGAATCATAATCATGTGAATGTAGGTTGAATTTTTCCTTCTTAAACATCAAATATTAATAGAACAAACTCAAATGTACAACACAACCAACCAAAGATTGTACTCAACTCCATCACACAATGTAGGTTGATACTTGTATTAATTTGGGCCACGTAATTTCTGTGTGCATCAATTATTACACACCACTAATAACTCTTTCAACCGGTCAAATTACAGCACGAGTTTACTTTACTGTGCAGCGTGCGCCATGGCATGTAACATAGTTGTTTTGTTGTTGGTCTCTGTATATGGACTTGGTATTTGAGTTAATTTTTGGCAAGTTTTTATTAGGAATAAAAGAATGTCGCCTGTCGGTCAAGTTTGGTTAGTTTCCTCAATTATTATCCATTTAATGTCGAACACCTCTTTTACTGAATTAATAATAAAACAAGATAATATATGATGTATCCA